ACCGTGCTATGCTAGTGGATGGGAAGACGAGGCTGAAGGGAGCAGAGATTGTCTGGGGCCGTAGATGTGCGGTGATACGCGTGCACGCGCGCTGCCCTTCAGCTCCCCTTCTGTTCCCCGCGATGCATTCACGTGCCCGTCTCGGTTATTTCCTTCTCGGGCTGACTTGCCCTTGCTTTTCCTGAGATCGCAGCCCCACCGAACATGACGCGCGCGCAGACCAGGCTGGCAGATTGGAGTGCTCAATCATCGGGCACCGGTCGTGTGAACAAGACCTGCTCATCATCCGGATCTTTTTCAGCAGCAATGTGATGCGGCGGTTGTGATATCGAAGTTGTGACCTCCACGTCGAAGCGTTGCGAATCGACCGCGGGGACCTGGCTTTCATTTTCACGTCCGCATTGTAGTCTTGGTTTCGATGCTGTACTTTCGCGGCAGGTTCGTGATCCCGCGCGACGTACTGAACAGCTCGTTTGTATTCAGCCGAAATGCACCGCCGTATACCTTGTGATAAGAGCTGCGCGCGGACCCCACCGCCGATCCAAGCTGCTCTTTGGGTACCGATCTGTATTATGACGTCTGCGTTCTTGAACTCCTCCGCTTTTTGCAGCAGGCATTCGTCTCCGCTGCAGGCGAGATGCTGTTCCATATTGAAAAATCACCGCCCACCAAACCACCCCAACCTTACCCGAAGGCTTCCATGTGCCCTCCATTTCCAGTTGGGGGGTTTCGGGGAGCACTGAGAAACAACAAAACATGGAACCCGTACCCCCCCAGCATGAAATTTGGGTATTCGGGTTGGGTTGGGGTGGTCTGGTAGGTAGTCAAAAGCGCATCAGCACGAACGCAGACACTCGCCGCATCACGCTGGTCCGCGCGGCGGTCGGGCGGGCCTGCCCTCCCGCGCTGGCAAAAGCAAAGGAACACAACGGTGGCGCGAGGCGGCGGCGCGGCCGCAGCGGGCGCGGGAGCTGAACAGGCGTGGCCAGAGGGACGCGGAGGAGGAGGAGGAGGAGGCAAAAGGCAACAAAGGAGGAGGAACAGGAGGAGGAGGAGCAGGAGGAGGCAGAAGACTGGGAGGAGGAACGGGGGGAGCAGGAGGAGGCAGACGGTTAGGAATAATTCAGGGAGGTGTGTTTGTGTGCAGGACGAGTAAAGGAAACAACTACGAAAAGGGACCACCAGCAACACAGGGACGAAGACAGGCAGGAAGACCATTAAGGGAGACGAGAAGTACGAGGAGGAGGAACAAAGAAATTCCACAAGAAATTAGGGCGGGATGGGAAGGACGACGAGGAGGAACGGTCCAAGACGTCCCTCCCCCAAGGCTTTTTGGGCTTCGATTTAAGCTAAGCATCCTGGCCCAGCTCATAGCCCACGTGCTGACCTCTTTCAGTAACGTTTTGCTGCGTCCTGTGCTCATCTGGGGAGTTTTTGTGCAAGGTTCTGTGAGGAGCACGGTGGCGTGGAGAGTCGGATAATGGCCGCAGAAACGATGTTCAAGCGCCTGATGCGCAGAAACGAACAAAAATGTGACACGTCCCCCATTCTCAATGGGGCACTTGCGGTACGAATTTTCTTCACCAAATCGCAATCGCGCGCGAAACGCGCGTGGATTTCTCGGATCGCGCGCCAGGTAGGGGGGTCCAGAGCCGATCCAAGAAACTTGCGCGGACCAACAATTCATGCTTACGCTGATTCCACTTCCCTTTGATGGGGACGGGGTGGGGCGTGGGCGTATGGCCCGAAGAGTCCCTGGCCCAAGGTGTCCCCCAAATTTCTGGGGAGGCCTGGTTGCCTCCAGAGCATCCTTCGCGAGGTCAGGCGGGGGGCCCCGTGGATTCCGAAATGGCGCCGAGGCCTCCGGAGGTCCGAGGGCGCCCTGGGATTTTTTCGAGGCCTCTGGAGGCACCATTTGGCCACCAGAGGCTTCCAGAAACGCCCAGGCGAGAGTGCCATCTGGATCGAGAAAGTAACATCTGCCTAAATCTACATGTTCGAAGCTCCTCGCGGGTTTCTTGGATCTGTGCTGGCCCCCCCCCCGCGCGCCAGGTAGGGTGGTAAGGCACCGACCCCAGAACTTCGCGTGGACCTCCCTACGAATTGTATATGTATGCCGTTTGTTTCCCAACCCTACTATGTTGTGTTGGGTTCTCGTTTTGAATAGAGCACTGCGGTCGCGACCTCCTTCCGCCTCCTTCCTCTCTCCTCCTGCCTCCTGCCTGCCTCTTGCATCCTGCCTCGCCGTCTTGTATGGGGGCTCGCTGGGGGCCTGCGTGGTGCGAAATTGTCGCCACTTTCGAGGGCTGTTGGGGGGGCCTCTTGGGGTGGAAGGCTCGGATTTTCGGTTCGTGTTCTCTTTGTTGGGCCCCTTGTGGGGCCGTTTTCGGGCCCCCTTGGGCCGCCTTGGGCGCCTCCTGGGCAGTCTTGGGGCGCTCTTAGGCCATCTTGAAGCCCTTTTGCAGGCCTCTTGGGCTGTCTTGGGATGGTCTTGGGGCCTCTTGGGCTGCCTGGGAGCGTCGGACATCAAATTCTAGCTGGAGTGCAGTCTCCCCAAACAGGGTTTCTAAATCCACTGCGGTTTCCAAGGTCGATTGCGTGCCCGTCCAGTGCGGGCTGGCATGGCATGTTCAAACATGATAACATGATGTTTGCACATGAGATGTTTACACGACAACTTGTGTGACGCATGCCTATCAGGAAGCCCGATGTCTGGGGAGGGCGGAATGCAGGGCGCGCATCACGGATGCTGAGGCGGCAGAAGCGACGACGGCGGGGACGGGGAGGCGGAGGCAGAGGCGCAGCAGCGGGAGGCGGGAGGCGGGAGGAGGGAAGAGGGAAGAGGAGCCAGGCGGGAAGCGGGAAGAGGGAGGCGGGAGAAGGAATGAGAGAGGTTGTGATTGAAGCCCCTGTGATACGAAACGTCTCAGGCAGAACAGGCCAGACCATCTCGCGCGCAACATCTTCGAGCTTCGCATTGTGAGGATGGCTCAAGCGAAACGGGCCCCACCTCGCGAGCGGCATCGTGGAGCTCAGTACTGGAAGGATGTCTCAAACGAAACGGGCCGGATAACCTCTCGCACACGTTCTGACAAGTCCACGTCGCACTCGTTTCCCGTTAGGTCCTCTCCTGCTACTCCCTTCCTTATCCCTCCTCCTCCTCCCCTTCCTCCTGCATGTTCCCTCATCCACATCATCCTCCTTCTCCCTTCCATCTCCTCCTCCTCCTCCTCCTCCTCCTCCTCCTCCTCCACCTCCTCTTCATCCCGAAAAGCATCTCGGAGCCCAGAGTTGCGAGGATGTCTCCAGCGTGACGGGCTGGACCACCTCGCGCGCGGCATCGCGGACCCCAGAGTTGCGACGACGTCTGGGGCGAAACGTGCTGCGAGGAAGTCTCAGGCGAAACGGGCCGGACCACCTCGAGCGCGGCGTCTCAGAGCTCCGAGTTGCGGGGGCCTCCTGGGGCCTCCTGGGGACCTCCTGGGGTTTCCCCCTGGGCCTCCTGTGGTCTCCTGGACCCCACCTGGGGCTTCCTGAAGTTTCTTGGGGCTCCCAAGGGGGGATATCTAACATGTGGTTGTCTGGGCCCCCCAAAATGGGGGGGGGCACAAGAGGAGGAAAAATCAACGAATCGGCACCGGATGTGTATTAGCTTGACACGTTCTGATAGGGGGCCTCCTGGGACCTGGGAGCCTCTTGGGAATCTCCTGGGGACCCCTGGGGCCTGTCCTGGGCGTCCTGCGGCCTCCTGAAGCTCTCTGAGGCCTCCTGGAGCTCCCAGGGTCCCAGGGGGGATATGTAACATGTGGTCTTCTGGGCCCCCAGGCTGGACCACCTCTTGCGCGGCATCTGGGAGCTCAGAGTTGCGAGAATGTCTTGTGCGAAGCGGGCCAGACCACCTCTTGCGCACAGCATCTCAGAGCTCAGAGTTGCGAGGATGTCTCGGGCGACACGGGCCGGACCACCTCGCGCAGGGCATCTCAGAGCTCAGAGTTGCGAGGATGTCTCAGGCGAAACGGGCTGGACCACGTCGCGCGCGGCAGCTCAGAGCTCAGAGTTTCGAGGATGTCTCGGGCAAAATGGGCTAGACCACCTCGCGCGCGGCATCTCAGAGCTCAGAGTTTCGAGGACGTCTCAGGCGAAACGGGCCGGACAACCTCTCGCGCGGCATCTCGGAATGCAACAGTGCGAGGATGACTCAAGTGAAACGGGCTGGACCAACTCTTGGGCGGCATCTTGGGGCTCAGAGTTTGGAGGATGTCTCAGGCGAAACGGGCCAGACCACCTCTTGCGCGGCATCTCGGATGTCTCACGCGAAATGGGCTGGACCACCTCTTGCGCGGCATCTCAGAACTCAGAGTTGCGAGGATGTCTCAGGCGAAACGCGCCGGACCACCCCTTGCGCGGCAGCTGGAAAGTCAGAGTTTGGAGGATGTCTCATGCGAAACGCCCAATCCCGGACAACTCAGAAACGAGAGTTGCGAGGATTTCTTAGGCGAAACGGCCCGGACCACCACATTTTTTTGAGGACGTCTCTGCTTTGAAATCCCTCGGCCGGAGTTAGCTTCTATCACAACAGCACCCCGTTCAGCAAGCTGTTTGGGGAAAAAGGCGAGAACTTCAAGATCCTCCCAAAACCTGAAAGATATGGATTTTGCCTCTTGAGCCCCCTCCTGGGAGGCCTCTTGGAGGCCTCTTGCGGCGTTTTGGGGGCCTCTTGGGCCATATTGAGACAGTCTTGGGAGTCTTGGGGCGATCTTTCGGCGTCTCGGGGCCCTCTTGGACCGTCTTGGGGGTCTTGAGTCTTGGGGCCTCGTGGGGCCCTCTTGGCCCGCTTTGGAGCGCCCTCGGGTCCGAACAAGTCATGCGCCGGAGCCCAGGGCGGCACGCGGGAGGCCCCGAGGGATTTCGGAAGTTGGGGTCTGGGCCCCTTAAAGACTCCGCAGGAGTGCTTGAGGGATTAGGCAATTGACTTGAGGTCACGCCCACTCCGTGCCCAGCGACACGGTGGCGGATGTGCGAAGATGAGTTCTTCGAACGCAGCGGCCCGAATAGCCAGGCACGAATCCGCGAAGAATACCAGCCAATTTGGCGGGCTAGAACTGTGCCCTGGTACACCGCATTGTCCACGGGTATCACCCTGCAGGCATGGCCAAGCACAACGACTTGGGCAGTCCGTGGAGCTAACCAACTCTTCAGCACTGCGCAAGTCCGTAAACAGCGGAGCTTGGTAAGGAGGAGGAGGAAGAGGAGGAGGAGGAGGAGTATGGGGAAGAGGAGGAAAACGTGGAGGAGCAGGAGGAGGGACGAGAAGGAGGAAGGGGATGAGGACGCGATCGGGGGGTCGGTGAGGAGGAAGACGGCGACCGACGTGGCCTGGAGGCTTCCGAAGGTGCACGCACGTTATGGTGCACGAAAGGCGTTGAGGTGTTGTGGGGCAAACTGTTACCGCTGCTGCAGCAGCTGGTGATGCACACTGGCGCGATGGTGCGCATGCGCTGTGCTGTGCACAGGCGCTGTGGTGCACGCAGGCATTGTGGTGTACACAGGGGCTGCTGTGCATATGGCAACTGCGGTGTTTGCAGGCGCTGCGTTGTGCACAGGCGTCGTTGTGCAGTTGGTGCGGACATGTTTTGTGCATCACTGTTGTGTGCAGTCGATGTTGTCCATCGCTGTTATGCACACGCGCTGTTGCGCACATGGCTCTGCGATGTGGACAGACCTTGTGGTGCGAACAAGCGCACTGGTGCACGCAAGCATTGTTGTGTACATTGACGCTTTCGTGCGCACGCTTGCTGTGCTGTGTATAGGCGCTGTGGTGTGCAAACTCCTTTCGATGTACGCAAGCTCTGTGGTGTACGCACGCGATGTTGCGGACGCGATCTCTGCGGCGTACACAGGCTGTATGGTGTACACAGGCGCCGTGGTGCTATGGTGCCCAAAGCTGGTAGGGTTTACAGAGGCAGCGTGCTCTACACAAGCGCTATGTTGCACGCAGGCGTTGCCGTGTACGCTGGGACTGTTGTGACACAAGTGCGATTGTTGCGCCAGTGCCGCGGGCGCGCCTTGGGTGGTGCACACCGCGGCCGCCGTTGCCATCCCCCTCCCCGACCGGCCCCCCGACCGTAGCACTCGTTACCCCCAAAAGAAAACACGAGATGTAAGCTTTCGAGTTGGGGTTAAGTCCAGTTCTCTTGTAGTTGTTTTTTCGCGAAAGCCCGTTCGAGTTTTTTGATATCGAGCGTACGAGGAACAAACGCGGGAGAGGGAGAAGGAGGCGCGAAGGGAGCAGCACAACACAGGATGTTAATTTCAATATTCAGGAAGTCCCAGTTCGATTTGCAAACAGTTGCAATAGTCCGTGGTCCGGTCATAATGTTCATGAAATCTTGACATGCGGAATTTTCGACATTTCTCGTTCCGTGTGCTCGCCCAGGGAAAGCCTTTTGGCGAAAGTTGGAACGACGTAGTTTGGGTAAACGTTTAACAGAAACCTGAGGACCTGATTCTATTGGAAGAGCTTAGCTAATCAAATCCGGGGGTCGGAAACTTGTTTTTTTATCGTACCCCCCCCGCTACGCTCCCTATTATTGTTGTTGCGAGCACGACTACTACCACCACCCTTCTCTTATTATAATTACAACTACTAATATTTCCACTACTACTACGACCACTACTACTTCCGTCATTACTACTTCGACGACTACTACTACTACGACTACTACTACCACTACTACTACTCCTAGTAGTATTACTACGATTACGACTACTACTTCTACTTTTACTACTACTACTACTACTACTACTACTACTACTACTACGATTACGACTACTACTACTACTACTACTACTATTGCTACTATTATTCTTCTTACTGCTACTACTTCTACTTACTACGACTACTATTGCTGCTGCTGCGACCATCACTACTACTACTACTACGACGACTACTACTACTAGAATTACTACTACTACTACTACTACTACTACTACTACCATCACTACTACTACTACTACTACTACTACTACTACTACTACTACTACTACTACTATTGCCACAACTACGAAAACGCCTACGACTACTACGACGACTACTACTACTACCGCTACTACTACTACTACTACTACTACTACTACTACTACTACTACTACTACTACGACCACTACTACTACAACGACGACGACTACTACTATTATTATTATTACTACTACTACCACTACTACTACTACTACTACGACTACTACTACTACTACCACTTCTACTACTACTATCACTACTACTGCAACTACGACTACGACTACGACTACTACTACGACTACTATTACTACTACTACTAGTTTTACTACTTTTACTACTACTACCACTACTACTACTACTACTAGTACTACTACTACTACTACTACGACTACTTCTACTACTACTACTACTGCGATTAATATGGCTACTACTACTGTCACGCCGACCACTACTACTACTAGTACTAGTACTAGTACTAGTACTAGTACTAGTACTATTACTACTACTACTACTACTACTACTACTACTACTACTACTACTGCTGCTACTACTATACTACTACCACTACTACTACTACTACTACTACTACTACTACTACTACTACCATTACCACTACTACGACCAGGACCACCACTACCACTATTACTACTATTACTACTACTACTACTATCACTACTACTACTACTACTTCTACTACTACTACTACTTCTTCTAACTCTATTACTAATTCTACTACTTCTAAGACGACTACTCTTACTATTGCCACTACTACGACTGCGCTTTCTGCGACTACTACGGCGTCTTCTACGACGACTACTTCGACGACGACTACGTCGACGACGACTACTACTACTACTACTACGACTACGACTACCACTACTACTACTACTACTACTACTACTACTACTACTACTGACACTACCACTACCACTACCACTACCACTACCACTACCACTACCACTACCACTACCACTACTCCTACTACTACTGCTACTACTACTACTACTACTATTACTACTACTACTACTACTACTACTACTACTACTACTACTACTACGACTACTACTAATACTACTACTACTTCTTCTTCTATTATTACTACTAGTACGACTACCAGCGCTGCGACCACGACCTACTAATAATAGGACGACGTCGATGACGACGATTGTGACGACGACGGCGGCGACGACGTCGACGACGAAGCGCAATCCGAATCGCGAGCCGCCCTCCGTCGATTGAGTTCTTCACGGTTTTGTCATGAGCGCAACCAGGCGCGCTGGGAGCGCTTGGGAGCGCCGTAGGGAGGCCATGGCTCGCCAGGGGCTGGGGGCCTTCACCCGTCTGGATCGCCCCCCCCCGCTCCGAACTGTCAGCCCTCGGGCTCTTGGCCCTCCAGACGGCCCCGCGGCCAACCTGTGGTGTCACCCTGCGTGGGCTGAGCCCATCTCCCCCTACTGTGGGGGCACCCAGGAAGGCGAAACCATGTTTGGAATCATCCCGCCCCAAGTCTTTGTTAAACCGTTTGCTCACTTTTCACGTGTTTCGCATTCCTTGTGAGGGGTGTCGCGGGGACGAACGGGAACGACTCAACAGGACCGGCTGTCCAGCCATCGGCCCTTGCTGGTCGCACAGCTCGCGAGCTTCCCGAACATCGTTCTAAGCAAAAGACAGTCTTTGCCACGCGATCATCCCGAATAAATGCTGTCGGATTGTTTCGGCCACGCGTTGCGCAAGGGTTGGGTACTTCGCCAGGGTAATGTTCCACCGGTCTAGGGGGGTCGACCCTGAATGGCCACTCATCACCGACATGCTTGTGAGTGCTCCCCGTCATCGCGCATCGGCAATATATCGCCGTTCCAGGTCAACTTCTGTCCCCGGTGGATACCAGGACAGGCCCACTGAAGGGCCAGGATCGGTGTAGGGCGTGTACACCAAAGGTGTCCACGGCGTCCACGGTTCGGTTGTTTCGGCTGTTTCGCAGTCGGCTGTGATCGGTCGGTTCGGTTCGATCGGGTCGTCGTTGCTGTGTCGCCGCGCCCTCCTAGATTGCTTGCGGCTTGTCGGTTTCGGTCGGTCTCGGTTTCGGTGTCGTTGGTCTTCGGCTGTGCAGTCGCTTCAGGCGAGTTGAAAGCAGGACGAGAGGGGATAGGTTCATGCGGGGACACATCGACCCCCGATGGCCCACTCATCGCCGAGAGGGACCCGACAGCCCATGCGGCTCCTCCATCGGGCGCCTATCGCAGAGTTGTCGGCGATGTACTGCCGATCTGAGGTCGACGCTTCTCCACCTGAGCCGGTCCCCCCTCGATCGTTGCCCCTCAGAGGAGAGTGGCGGAGGTGGGCCACGCTGGCGACGCGCAAAAGGTTAGGCAGGCCCAGGATGAGGATAGCCCGCTCCAGACAGTTCCAGATCGCCCTGAGAACTTTCCAGAGTGCTCTGGGACCAGCCGCGGCGCCCGATACATCCTCCAGACTCGCCCGCTCGCATAGATTCCCGATCAATCATCGTCCGTTTTATGCTACTCCTGCGTTTGCTTCTCCCCCCCCGCTGGGCAGCACATCCTGTCCGAGACCAGCGTGGCGGCGCGTAAGGCTATATCGGCGCACCGCCACCGTGTGGCCGTCGACACCGTGTGGCCCGCCGGAGCCCATGATTTGTTGCTTGCCATCGTGTGGCCGTCGCCACCGATTGTGTGAGCACATGGCGACGTAGGTAATGCTGAGCCCTCAGACTGCATGCGCAGATCGCGCCTTCGTGTGAGACTTCCTTGCAGTGCCTTGCGGCCTTTGCCAGCGGGATGGAGAGAGAGAGAGAGAAGAGGAGGAGGAGGAGGAAGAGGAGGAGGAGGAGGAGGAGGAGGAGGAGGTGGAGGAGGAGGAGGAGGAGGAGGGAGGAGGGAGGAGGGAGGAGGGAGGAGGGAGGAGGGAGGAGGGAGGAGGAGGAGGAAGAACAATAATAATAATAATAGTAATAATAATATGGATAATAATATAAATAATAAGATCAATACAATAAGAATACGAATCATAATAATAAAAATAAGAGTAATCAAACTAAGACTAAGAATTAGAAGACCACGAAAAAGAAGAACAAGAGGAGGAGGAGGAGGAGAAGGAGCGCATGTTGGCGGCATGCGCAAGGGTGCAGTGCGAGGGGGAGCGGCCCTCAGAGAAGGCGAAGAACTTCTCGGAGGGCAGGGCCCTTCTCGGAAGGGCGGGGTCGCCGCGCCGTGAGCGGAGAGTTGCCCTCCTCGAGGGCGGCATCGCGAGGGCGCGAGAGCGCGAGGTGTGGGGGCCCAGGTTCAGGTGGGGGAGATTGGCAGGCACGCCCCCCCCCCTCCCAAGAGGCACCCTGGCCAGCATGGTGGTCGTACTTTTAATCGTGGTTTTGCAGATCGGCGCGGGCCCTCGTACTCCCCCCCCCTCCCCCCCCCCTGGAGTGGGTCTTGGCTGTTTTTTGGCGCCTGTTTCGAGCAGGTGGAGTCCCACCCCCATAGGGCGCACTGTCGCAAACAGCCGCACTAAGCAGAGATCCGGAGCCAGACCCCCCCCCTCCCCCCCTCTTCGTTCAATGTCTACACGCCGAATAAGAAAACGTTCACGTGGCTCGTCAAGGCCCACGCCACGCTGACGCGGCGGCGATCCTGGCGCGGGCGGTTTCGGGTTGAACGCCGCCAGTGGCCCGCAATCGGCCGACATTGCAAGGTTTGCGATCGTTCAAGGGTGAGCGATCCACGCGGTGTCAGGAATCAAAGCACGAGTCGTCAGGACACGAATTCGCCGTACGGCCATGATGGTGTTTGTATACGATCCCAGTTGAGTCAAGCTCAGAAGGACGGGCAAGGCTTGCTCTTCAACCGTGATCCGCTTACGCAGTAGTTTTCATCAACATGTAATGATAGATGCCTTCCACGCTGCAGCAGTACCTCGCTTTCAATAGGGCCCTTGCACAGCAGACGCAATGCTTGAAGGTATCTTAGATATTGGCGGCTCAAAGGGGAAGCCGTGGAGCTATTGTAGCCGTGGAGCGTCAGTAGCCGGATAAAGAGCTTGGACTGTTCCTCTCATTGCCGCACATTGTTCCGCCAAATCTCTTCGCGTCCAGTCCCTCGCCCTACCCTTCACCCCCTCCTCCCCTCCCATGCACCCCTTTTTCAAGACCAATCCCGAGCGCACGAATTCTTGTCGAAGACACATGCATCTATGATGCAAGTTGTTGTCACAGTTATGCTGTGAGTGTGTTTCCAAGCTGCTACGGCTCAGGGCGCCGTTGATGGAACACTGTGCTAACTCTACAGTGCTACCTGTGGGAACACAAAGATGGGTAATTGATGTCCCGTCAATTGCTGATGCAGAGTTGGGTAAGTTCTGCTCCGTCGACGGCTGGTACAAACTTGGGTAAATGTTGTTCCGTCGATTGCTGAAATTGCTGCAATGTCATCGGCCACAATCTGAAAAACTCGCTTCGAGGTGCCTGCTGGTGAAGTACACAATCAAAGCGGGCTTTGACAGCCCAAGAAAATCGGATGACCCTCAGGGATGAACACCGGGATGAAATCTGGACCAACGATGCCCTCAAGAAGCCCCAAGATGCCCCCAGGAAGCCCCCAAGAGGCCCCGAGGCCCCAAGAGGCCCCCAAGAGGCCCCAAGGGGCCCCCAGCAAGCCCAAAAGAGGCTCCAAGAGGCCCAAGACGGCACCCAAAAGGCTTCAACATGCTTTCTAGGAGGCCCTAGAAGACATGCCAAGAAGGTCCCATGAGGACTTCAAGAAGCAGCCCAGGATGTTCCGAGGAGGCTCCAAGAAGCTAGCTAGAACTTGAGCGCGCGCGAAGCGCGCAATGGTTTCAGTAGATTATATCTATATATGTGTATATGTGTGTATATATATATATATATATATATATATATATCCCTGCGAGTGGCGCGTGAAACGCCATCCTTTCACTCGGCCACCTCCCGTGCTCATCGCGTGGCCCGCGGTCGCGCTTCCAGGGTTCAGCGCTTTGAGCAAACGCTGCAGGAGAGCCCATACAGCGTGGTCGAGACATGGGGGCGTAAGTGCTGGACCGTCTGCCGAGGGCGCCCAGCCAAGGAGTTGGGAACAGGGGGTAGGTAAAATCGCACCAGAGCCCGAGCCGTGATGGTGTTGTTTTCGTGAACTCTGGCGGTGCCGCGTGCGGGGGCACGGCGTTGCCAACACAGCGAAGGTTTGCAGAACCTTTGCAGCCCCCTACAGTGTTGGGAAGGAGGTGGTGTCTAAACTCGCAGAGCCGCCCACCCCCCCACAACTCTGCTGGCCTTGCCAGACGAGCTGGGCCAGGGACGCGGAGTTCAGGAGTAGTGTTGCATCGCGCACGTTCGTCCGTGTCATGCGCGGCTGTTGGGACCAGGTGTGTGCGCCAGGAGGACGAGCCAGCGGAGCAGGAGAAACAAGAGGAGGATGATTCTGGATTGGCTTGGCTTGTGTTGTTGGGCCAATCGTGCTCGGGGCCTCAGCGGATGCACTTCTGCTACTCCGAACGTTTCCCAACACAGCTGTAGAGGAGTGTTGGACCCTCAAATGTAGCTGATGACGTCCCAGCTTAGCGCCAGCTTGCCGCGCAGTCCTGCACCTCTCCAACACGAAGGGACCCAGGCACCACAGTTGATGATATGGCTCGCCTGTGCGCGCGTGTCCTCTTGAGCCAAATGGCCTGGATCGTAATTTTTTAGCGGTTGATCGCCCTTGCCGCCGTGGCCCCCCACACCACGACCCCGTCTTCCGTCTTCTTTGTGTTTGCATTCTTCCGTCGTGGCCCGAGCCGTTTTGCGTTTCCTTCGCACGAGCTGACGTTTGCATTGTGGTTGGTCGCGTTTGTTATGCGCGCCCTGCCGTGCAAGGAGGCTCAGTTCGAACCCGAACTGACCCCCTGCCCTGGAGCTGAGGGCATGGATCATGCGCGCTTGCCATGCTGCCGCTGCCCACCTTTTTCGCAAGTTGCTGCCCTGGAGCTGTAGATGGTTACGGTGCGCCCGCCTTCCCCCTGCTGAGCAGCAGTGCGCGCCGTTCTCGCAGTCCGCCCTGGTCCCCGACATGTGACAGGGCTCGTGGGGCGGGCCTGGCTGCCCGTCGCCGCCACGCGCGCCTCCTCCTCCTCGAGATCGCTGCAGCGATCTGCATGCTGCCATTGCCTGCCCTTCTCGCATGCTGTGGCCCGAGCGCTGCAGCTGACGACGGTGGGCCCTCACTCCTCCCGCTATTTGCCGCCACCGCATCCTCTGCTCGCAGTCCGCCCTGGCCCCTGGCTTTCGGCCAGGATCGTGGGGCGGGCCTGGCTCTCCTCTGCCACTCGCTTTCTCGCTCGAGCTGGCCCCTTCCACTGCCTGCTGCCACTGCCTGCAGCTCTCGCACGCCGTGGCCCGAGCGCCTTCCCACGTCTGCTACCGCTGCGAGCTGTCTCGCCAGCGGCGCCCGCTGCTTTCTGCTACCGCCTGGCTGCGGCATGCGCCGTGGCCCGAGCAATGTGGCTGATCACGTTTGCCTCACAGCCGATCGGCGCCCGCTCGTCGCTGGCGCCCGCTTCTCTGCAACCGTTGGAGCACGTTTCTGCGACGTCCGTGGCCGGTCCATCGGCCATGCCATGCGGGGATCACGTAGCCCGTCGGGGGGCCCGTGCACCATGGAAGGGATGTGGACTCTTGAGGATAGGAGGTGGAGTTCTCTGGATGGCGGGGTGAGAGCGGGCCCGCCGCAGTTCCCACGCTGGGTCTTCGTCTTCTTCTGGAGGCGATTTGGTGCTGCGCAGCCCCGCCACCGAGGTCGCGCTTCGGTCTCCTGGCCGGCACGGGCTCGTGCATCTCAGCCCAGCTCAGTTGTGCCTGGTCGCCGTCCTGCTGCTGCCTCTGCTGCTGCTGCTGCTGCCGATGAGCTGTTGCGGCTCCTGCCGTTGCTGCCGATGCTTCCTCTGCTTCTCCCTCCTCGTTTCTCACCTCGTTCATCATCGTCATCGTCGCCCCTCCCCCGTTCTCATTTGCCTTCCTGCACCTGCTCGTGCTCCTGGTCTGCCTTGTCTCCTCCCCCTGCTCCTGTTGCTCGTGCTGCTCCCGCTACTGCTGCTGCTTCTCGGGATCTCGACGCTCCTGCAGATGATCCTGCTCCTCGTGCTCCTCCGCGGTCCTTGCCCCTTCTTATCCTCACCCTCATCTCTTCCCCCCTTGTCTCCCTGCTCTGCTGCCCTCTGGTCATTCACGGCATGGCAAGGATTTGCAACGCGAGCCTAGGATCGGGATAAATCGTTCCAGTGCGTTCCGGAACCCTCTCAGAGCGTTCCAGAACGCTTTGGACAGGCCGCGGCACTCGATACATCCCGCAAAACCCGCTGGATTTCAGAGATCCCCGATTTATCCCGGTCCTATTTTGTCCCGATCGTGGTTTCGTCTTAACTTGCGATGCCACCGCCCAGACCAGCCTTGCATCCCACGCTCTGCGATCCCGCCCTCCGCCGCGCGCCCAGACCATCGCAGCCCTGCAGGCGAAGGGGCAGATCATGGTGAAGGAGAGCCCCGTGAATCAGGAGGAGGAGGAGGAGGATGTTCGACCAGTGTAAACCCAATACGCATCGACGATATTGAATTACCTCCTCCCTCTTCATAGTTCCCTGAATGGATTGGCCTCTCTTGCGGGACGTGGCCCATTAGAAGACGACTGATTGAGAAT